ATTTTCATGGATTTCAAATCAATACAAATCGATGAAGTTGCAGTTGGTGTAGGGAGCCAAAAAAAAAAAATGTTAAAAGCACTAATAAATGAGGGAGAAAATGAAGGGGCGTACAGTAGCAAAACCACAGCGCATCAAAATATTTGGAGCACGATAGTCGCTGGCGGGGCGTGGTATCCTCGTCCTTTTCCGAGCTCATCGTCAACCTTTGGTACAATTACAGTAACACCCAATTAGATATGTCAAAACGGGTTGGGGCGGGCCTATAAAAGGGCATCTCGGCCCGAAACATTTTTTTTTTTTAAAAAAAATGAACTGAAACCAAGCCACCAGTATACCACATCTGCGCAACAATATAATATGTTTTACAACCCTCTGTGTGTGTTGTGTGCGCAGTGTGCATACTAAGGGAACGATGGAATCGAGCACCAAAAAAATCAAAAATCTAGGAATTAGCCATTAATATACTTTTATATAAATGGAAGTTACCGGAATGTCACCGCCTCGCCGCCCGGCAGATGGAAGATGCCGCAGCGCCTCCGTCCTCGTCGTCGGGTTCGGCCGTGAAGGTTAGAGTAATGGGGGCTGCGGATTAGGCTAGGGTTTGCTCACTTGGAGTTTGGGTTTGTGTTGAATGTTGGGGCCAAGAGACGAAGAATCAGATAATTAGGTAGTTTGCTGCCTCTTGGACCATGTTTGTCCCGATCCAAACCAACTCTCTTCCACCTACACAAAATAATTATTTTATTTTATTTTTATTTATTTATTAAATAATATTTTTGTTATTATTTTACTTGTGACAAATCTATATCTATATTAAAAACCAACCTATTTACCAAAAACAGTAGCAAGAAAAATCAACGCACATTTAATGCATACTTTATTTGAAAATTTTTTACTATATCATTAAATGCTTGCATATTTACATTTACTATCCAAATATGATCTTCAAGATTTTTTCGTTAAATAATTTATGCAATGATTTTACTGATATCCATTATAATTAATATTTGTCGAGTAATGTTTTTAACATTTATTTAATTATATAACACTAATATATTTTTAAAAAAATTAATATTATTTATTATTTAATAATGATCACTTCATTAAATGATTTTATTGATGGTTAGATAATAAAATTATAGTTGTTCTTTAAAATTTCGACATGTTATTTATTTGTATATTATTGTCAACTATGATAGTGTTTTTATCACTTTTTTTTGTTATGTTTCAAAAATGAACTTATTGTAAAATATTTTTCTATTGCATAGTATGTTAAATAAACTATAATGCCTTATGATGAAAACTAGAAAAAATCTCTTGATTATGTAAGGGATTTATTTTTTGGCAATTCCTAAATCATTTAAAAAAAAAAAGAATTATTATGAGAAAATAAAATTCTAAAAAACATGTGTGTGTATTTTGTAAACATTTATACTCAAAATTTTATTTTGAATTTCATTACATAAAGAAGACTACTTCTATAACTTTTATAAATAATAATAATTACATTATATGACTGTAAATTTTATAATAAAATAATAATT